AGGTTCGCTGGAACGCCAAACGAGGACCTGAATTCACTTGGGAACGAGAGGATCAGATGAAGCTAAAATATCCTCATCTTTTCGTTTAGTTATTTGTAACTTCTTATTTGCTTAAATTCTAATTTCAAGATGAAATTCCTTCTAACAGGGGGATGATGTGACAACCCGAAATTTCCATTATGTACGAACTTGATAAGGTCAATAGAAGTTATAACAGTCACAGTAAATTTTCAGACTTTTCTGTATAAGTTTGAGTATTTCGGGATTTACACTTAAGGAGATATCAGGAGAGTGGATGCACTAGGGTTTTGTGCAACGCTGTTACTCCAAAACTATATTACATTAGAGTTCATTACGGGAATAAAATATTTTCTACCAAAAATCTCAAGACTATATATAGAATGTTGAGCCATATTCATTCATTATTGACAATTCCAACTAGAGAAAAACCATTTCTCTCTCACGGATCTTCGGGTTTTCATCCCAAATCGTAAGTACCCTTCTCTAGTTACATTATATGGCTTATAACATGTTTAATAACCTCGATTACATAGAAAATGTGTGAGATTCAGGAGTTTACCGCCCAAGAACGTTCTTGGAGAGTAAACTCCTATATGAGGCTTATATGAGGCCTAGTCCCTTCCGCATGTTAAATAACGACCTTAGGATGGTATGTAAGTGTATTTAAGACAAGAAAACACCAAAGAAACACCCAAGTTTAGGTGTTCACGGCCCAAGGAGTTCTTGGACCCTGAACTCCAAAAACAAGGACCAAAAAGTGTTTTTAACACTCCTAAGGCTTTGGACAATTACCTAGGTTTACTCCTACATAAATTAAGGACTTAAACACATCCAAAAACCCCACTTTTGAGAGTTTACGGCCCTATGATTGTGCTTGGGTCGTGAACATCAAAATAAGGCACCAAAGTGTGCCTAAGGCCTCCATTTGCTTAGGGTAAAAGTCTAGAACCTATCCTACATGTGTATGAGACTTGAAAGCATAAAAACAACCATCCCCTGAGAGTTTACAGTAGTAAACTCCAAAGGAAATGGTCTTTGGGCCGAAAACTCCTAAAAGGAGTGTATTAATGCCCTAAAGTACCCAAAGGATTAAACCACCAAGTAGAACTTATTCTAGAAATCACGTAACACTTCAAAACAAATAATGTCAACATGTTTGAGAGCTTACGACCGTAAACTCCTTGTGTGGAGTTTATTGAAGAGTAAACACATATATAGGGGCTTTTGGAACCCTAAACCCCTTTAGCATTGTCCCACAACAACTTAGAGGCAACCCTTAGGACTTATAACACTTATACAAAGTGTTTTCATGTTCTAGAGTGTCCCAACTTAATTTATTAGTTATTATTTGGCTAATTAGTTATATATATGCTCATTATATGATAACTAGGCTCGTGCGTGTGAGCAAGTCTTCGTTTGCCACCTAGCACAGTATCCGACACTTTAATCCAATCCACTCACCACAAGTGTGTTCATACCCCTTAACCAATGATTTAAATGTTTTTAAATGCTTTAGGGGGGGGGGGGAGGAATACAAGTTAAATACTTATAGTTATTACATCAATCACAGGTGATTAATAACTACAAAACCAGTGATTTCTTACCGTTCAAACTGTTTATCAAACCGTATTGTTTCAAACTGTTTTACAAACTCTGTTACTTATCAAATACTTTCATTTAAACTCTTTAATACTTATTATCAATTTCATGTCTATGTATGTATACTTATATAATAAATGTTTAAAAGGCTTAGGAAGGCATGTCCGCCCTATTTCCTTTTCGCGCTTGAGATGTGGTCTGGTGGGATATCGGGTATCCGTCCGAAGGTCATTTAAATATTAATTATATATCATGTGTACATATGTAGTCATAAAGGTCCTTACAGTTCATTCAGTACCCTTGGGTAGCAAGGGTATACATCCTGGTTCATACGTACGAGTTACATCATTAGTATGTTACCATAGGGGTAGCACATAAGAATACTAATACTATAACTAGAACAAAGAAACATACAATGTGTTAGTTCATTCATGAGTCAGTTCGAGTAGTACACACAATACATTACTATACATGCTAGATAGAGAGAAAGTACATTACAGCTAGCACACGTAGAACATTTTAGTACACACAGGTTAGACAGAGAAAGATTACACTTTCAGTCAGCACAATTATTACATATACGTTTACGTAGTTATGTGAACCATTGAGCGGGTCATGTCAGTTCCTGCCACGATCGTTCTTGCATCCCGAATCTCCTTAATTGGAGAGTGTATGAGTTTGCGTATATATCTATACTGGATTGACTATCCTACACCTTGCTGCTCGCTACAGTGGGACTTACAAGTCTACGGGTAACAAATGTCATTTCTTACAGCGTCTTACATCGTCGTTTTACTAGAGTTGGTATCAGGATACAAGTCGATCACATGTTATTTGAAAACACCTTTTTGTATTAAGGTAGTTAGTACCACGGTAGTCACTTATTACAAATACTACGGTACGATAATATTTTCCCATTACATTCACTTCGTGAATATTCACACGATGCACGGTAATGTAGTAACTATATTTTTGGTTAATGATAGTCAAAATTTGGGAAACACGCACTCTCTAACAAGAGACATATAGACGAACACGAGATGCCTTGGTAGAAGGCTACAGTTAGTAGAAAACATAGGGTTTTCTAGGAGAGTTCAAACATTATACAAAACATTGTACAAATCATTTTACAGAAACAACTTACAAACATTTTCATACAAACTCAGGCATTAATATACTTATGATCTCACCAGCATTAAGATGATACTCGTTTTCAAAATAACTTGTATTCTCAGGTCACCACTAGAGAGGTACAGGTGTCAGGATTTTGAGAAGATGGAGTTCGTTCAAGACTCATCTTTTATTTTGATATGTATATTTTTGGTGTCTATAACTTTGACAGAACACACATGTATGAAATTATAATATTAATGCAATGGATAATGTTGTTGCTTGTTTACTAGTATTCATTGTTGTGATATTGTACATGACGTCCTCCGCCCCAGAATGTTTCCGCCATTCATGGTTTCGGGGTGTGACATATTCAGAAAGTGGGAACTTACTTTTGAATTTCATGATGAATTACGACACTGTCATTCAAAAGCAAAGGAATACTCAACGAGAGCTTGATAAGGCATCAAAGAAAGTATCATATAGAATGCAAACACCTCGAGAAATAGAACTGCAAGCATCAAAGGTTTATACAAGTACATTATTTTTTGAGGTGCAAAAAGAAATATATAAAGCATGTTTTTTCTGTATATACTCATATGTTGGTATTGAAGATGGTTGGGAAGTTTACATTGTGCAGTACAACAACAGTAAAAGTGATTTTAAAAATGAATTTAAGGTAATTTGACTTGTTTTTTTTATGAAAGATGTAATAATATTCATATATGAATATGAGAATATTCATATATGAATATCAATATTCGTTTATTCATATATGAATATATGAATATATGAGTGTTGATATGAGTATTCTTATATGAATGTAAATGTGTAAATTTTGTTTTTGTATCAGGTTGAAATAAAAGCTGAAGAGAAAGAAATAAATTGTAGTTGTGAACATTTTAAGCGTATGGGTGTTTTATGCAGACATGCTTTTACAATAATGATGAGATGTGGTGTTAAAGAAATTCCTGAAAGGTACATTTTGAAAAAGATGGAGAAAGGATGTGATATCAAGAATTTATCGTTTTAGTTCTATTCAATCCGATTCAGGTGATTGTGAGAATGTAAAGCTAGTCAATGATTCATATTATAGTTTTGAATCATGTTTGGATATTGTAAGAGATGATAAAAAGAGATTGGCTTTGTTTGCTGAGAAACAACAAATGTTGTTGAAGGAATTTGAGTGTGATTATATTTCTCCTGGATTGAAAAGCAAGACAGATGGTGAAGTCGTATGCAAGCTTTTGGGTGTTACTATTCCTATTCCAGAAGAGATTAATATTCATGTTCCTGAAGTTCAAAGCAATAAAGGTTCTGGAATCAAGAAAAAAATTACAAGTGCAGGTGAAGTAGCATATGAAAATTCTAAAAAAGAACATAGAATGTGTTCATTATGTGGAAAACGAGTTCCACACAATTTACGTACTTATCTAGAAAGAGTTGGAGCTGCTAAATCAGCAAAAGACAGTTAGGGATTTTTTTAGTTTTTTTTTTATGTTTTTTGTTTTATTTATTTATGAATATATGCAGATAAAAACAATAAACAATAATATTCATGTATGAATAATACACATTTATATTGATATGGTAAATTGATATGTTGATATTTGTTTTTTTAAATTACTATAAAATAAGTTATATTGATATTGTAAATTATTTATAAGTGAATACAAATATGTGAAATTTGTTATACTAATAAATAAGTAATATTCATATATGAACTTTTTTATGTTAATATCTGAACTTTGTTATACTACTTTGAACTTATTTATAAATGAATATATCATATTCGTATTCATTTATGAATAAATAAAAATAAAGTTTGAAAATATTTGAATATAAAAAAATGACATAAATAAGCAAACTTGTTTCTACTAATAAGTTAGTTATATTCATATATGAAATTTGTTATATTCATATATGAACTTTGTTATACTGACATATTACTCCTTATCTAATCATAAATGAATATATCATTTTCGTATTCATTTATGAATAAACATAAATAAACTTTGAAAATATTTAAATATAAAAAACTGACAGAAGTAAGAGAAGTTGTTTCTATTACATAATCATTCAACACAAGATAATAAAAGTTGTTCATAAGCATTTCACAAAATATTAAAATGATGTTCAATAACATTTAACAAACCATTTAAAACTTGTTTCGCAGAATCATCTTACATGTACTTCAAATCCGTTCATCTTCAACACAAACTATTCTATAGCATCACACTTCAACATTCTTTCATCTTCACAAGCAGTCATCAATATTCTTTTAACCTTTTTTGAATTGTTTGCATAGCCTTGTATGCATGATCAGTACGCACTTTGAATTCAACTTTTTGATATTTTTCAGCAAGATCCAACACCTTAGCCTTCAAAATGTTAATTTCAGAATTTAGCATTATGTGTGCATATCTTTGCCTGAGCTTCTCTAAAGTAGTTTGCTGAACTGCACTTTCTTTATGAAGACCTGGTTTCCACTTTGAGAGTGGTTGTCCCATATAGGTCTCCATATGTCTCATTGCAAAGACCCCACAATCAACTTTGTTTTTAACTATTCTCCATGACATTTCAAGTCGTTGGGGTTTGGTACTTTCTTTTGAGATTGCAATTTCTCTTGGATGATTTATTTCTTTAAAGTATCTTACAAACAAATTTTTCTGATCATTAAATAAAATAAAAGTTAGATATGTAATAAATTGGTTTTTTTATGTTGTTGTGAACTGGGTACATACCAAAGGTTTCAATATTACTCTGTATTTCCCTTCATAATCCCCCTCAACTGCACTATTGTCTAGAATTTCAATTGACGGTTTGTTTAAGTTGAAGATAATCACAAAAATGTGAGCACTTCTAACAACTGGAAAGAATACCTGCTTTTATGTATATAATGGTAAGTATTTTGTTGATAAAATATATATATATATATATATATATATATATATATATATATATATATATATATATATATATATAAAAACAACTTTAATTAACATACCATGTCAATATCTTTTATGTTCAAGATTTTTTGTACCCATTAGCACTATCATGAAAGTTCTCCTTGAATTTTTCATACTTTCTTTCATCAGACAATGTTGAAGTTAGATAAGAAGTCTATAACCAATATAATCATATGTGAATTTCAGTTGAATATATATAATTATGTTAAAGAATACATCATATTTGTATAATCATATGTGAATTTAAGTTGTAAAAAAATATAATATTCATAAATGAATACATCATATTGGTGTATTCATTTATGAATAAGGAAGGAATTAAGGTTAGAACATAAACTTACAGAAACTCCAACTTTCAAGAAGAGTCTGTATGGTGAATTTCCAAAATCCCTTTCCAGTTCTTGGTGGTTAAGTAAATCAGACCAAGTGTCTAAAACTTCTCCAAAAATCTTTGTGTTTGCATATAGACTTTCCATAACTGCTCTTTCTGTTGTCTGACCATATTTTGTCTGGACAACCACATCTCTGCAAATATATAATCAAAATGTCATAGATTATTATCTATATAATAATCATATATGAATGTATATAAAATAAAGTTACTTACGATGTATTGCCTTGTAAGTTGAACAACCATTCACAGACAATACTCTCCTGATGTGTCAGTTTGGGTTTTGTGTCTGTTATTCTGCATTTGAAAGGTGATTTGAAAGCATCAACAAGCTTCTTCTCTCTTGGTTGATCCTAAATCATGCTTTGATGGTCCTACTTCAGTAGGAATTGATACAGAGATTGGATTTGGATTAAGAACATTTTTCTTTGCTAATCTGATAACAACCTTATGATGGTCGTCTTTGATTTGTTTCTTTGTAAGTTGTTTTTTTGGTAAAGATTCATTAGATTTTTTACTTGATGTTTGATCTGAATCTTGACTGAGACCTAGACTAAAGCTTGGATGAGTATCTGCATGCCAGGAGATTTATCATATAAATAGTTGTAAGTTAATTATAATATTTGAGTTTATATTTTGAAATGTTTATCCAAATTGTTACCTCCTTTATTTCCTTTTGTCTTGTCAGATTTTTCTCCTTTCTTGTTTTGATTTTTTGACTTTTTCTTTCCTGAAAGCTAAAGAACTTTGATTAAGTAAATCATATGTGAATTAGTAATGTATTCATGTATGAATAAGTAATGCATATCATTATTTATGAATAAGAAATACTAAAATTTTTTCTTTTTTTATATTGTGCTATTTATTTGTGAATAATAAAAGTTATTATATTCATTTCATAGTGATTCAACTATTTACCTTTATCTTATGCATTTCCTTTCTCAGTTTCTATATGTTTATCTTCACCTCCATCTTTCGTGTTCTTAGCTTCTGTTCCTCCTTTATTTCTATCTTCAGAGTTTGTAACACCGTAAAATTTAAAATAAAATTTTCACATTTTTAAACACACTTTTCCAAACACATTTATTGATAAAACCCCATTGTATCATAACTTTGTTTCACAAATATTTCCCAAGATCAAAATACATAAAAACCCATTCGTGTGTATGAATCATGCTGGCGCCTTCCCGCGATCATCACTAGTACCTGAAACACATAACATATAACATTGTAAGCATAAAGCTTAGTGAGTTTCCCAAAATACCATACATACACATACTAGCCACTCGAGGCCATAACTCTGTGGACCCGTGGGCCCTAACTCTGTGGACCCTTTGGTCCTAACTCTGTGAACCTTCTGGTTCTAACTCTGATATAGTCTGATATACTCATGACATAAATCAAATAGAAATAATGCAGTAACACATCACATAATAGCATACAATTGTTGGGTTTTGATTAATCTAACACTTCCTAAGTGTGCATGCAACCCTAATAAACCTTGGATCTATGTTTGTCTAAATACATGCAAAATAATAATTTTTCAAGGTTCATAACCTATCTAACATGGCATGGGGTACTTTTAAACATAAAAGAATTAGATGAGATTACATACCCTTTTGATGAGTTTGATTCCTAAGGAGTTTGAGGGCCAAGCACCAATAGTGTGAATGCCTCAAATGGAATCACAAATCACCACAAACACTTGGAAAACTTTGAGAGAGTGTATACACACTATAATTTTGGCCACACACAAACACACACACTAGTGGCTATTTCATGCAACAAAAGCATGCTTATATAGTGTGCATGATTAGGGTGAAACCCTAATAACCCATGACCTTTCCTTTTCCAATGATCCATGGGTTAAAAGCTCCATGGGTCATCCATGGACTTCCATACAAGCCTAGCCCATTAACAAATGAGTGTTAGCCCACACCATATAAAACCAATAGCCCACAATCTAATTAGTCTTCCTTTTAATATCTAAATTAATTCATAATTAATTTAAGATTAAGACTAATTAAATAACATGACTTCATATTAATATATTATAACTTATAATACATTAATAATCATATGTGTATAACTCTCATAAAATTATCCATAAATAGTTCGGGTGAAGTGCAACCCAAATGGACCATGCCGGGTCGGGTCAAGTATATACCAAATAAGTTATGGATTTCGACACCTTATCCAACAGACTCCCACTTGGATAAGTCTAATAACTGTATTTGCCTATATTACTTTAGGAACCAACCAACAATCGTAGCTCTCGAAAACTATGTTGAACTATGAAGCGCCATTTTAAGATAAGTGATCATACAATCGTCTGTTCTCATGATATCAGCCGGATAAACACATGGAACTATGTCTTGCTTATTGTCTGGCAGTTGTTTCTCGATTTCCGATTTGTTTGAAAAAGAACTCAACTGAACACATCAATTTAGTTCTGACCGGGCACGGTACATGGTTCAACACAAAATCATCGAGGGGCCCAGATATCGCTTCTATTTCTAGAAGGAACAGATAAACTTCGACTCATATGCTTGTTCTACTACTTGTTGAATTGTACACAAAGGCACGTTTTACAACATCAAGTTACTGATGTGTTTACGTGCAATCAATGCACAACAAACTCATAGGTAACAACTCATATCTCTAGGTTTGAAGACTTATATGATATTACCGTCTCACGATCACTCGAGATAAATTCCATGAAGTGATACAAGTGAGCGTGGGTTTATTCCAATACTCATAACTTATGAGTACTCATGAACGTTGTAGCAACCATTACCATGTCTAAACACTTTTAGCCATCTACAAACCCAATTCATGACAATCTTGATTCATACCTACTTCCGACGTATGATCGATTGTGGAGGTTTGAATATATTAATTATTCTGGAAGCCAAAACATGCAAAGCTGAAACAATTGTAAATAATTGACAATGATAGCAACACCTTACTCATAAATAAATCACAATTTTATTCATCATCAAATGTCGATTGCATTTTACAAGTTTCAGAGAATCTATCTAACCCGTAAAACTAATATCGTCCCTCAGCCCGATGCGCCTCGCATGCTGAAAATGCTTAGCCCTCGTCAGTCCCTTTGTAAGGGGATCCTCAGGGTTCTCATCTGACGATATCCTCGTTGCCACGAGGAGTCATTCTTCTATCCTGTGTCTTATGAAGTGATATTTTCTGTCAATGTGTCGGGATCTTCCATGATCTCTTGGTTCTTTAGCTAAAGCAACCGCACTATTGTTGTCACAAAAAATATCCATAGGCTCCTTAATAGCTGGCACAACTCCAAGGTCTCCGATGAAGTTCTTCAGCCATATCGCCTCCTTCGCTGCTTCACTCGCTGCTATATACTCTTATTCACAAGTCGAATTAGCCACTGTCTGCTGCTTGGAACTCTTCCAAGAGATTGCCCCTCCATTTAAGGTAAAGACCCAGCCCGACTGAGAGCGAAAGTTATCCCTATCAGTCTGAAAACTAGCATCACTATACCCTAATACTCTCAAGTCATCACTCCCACCAAGGGTAAGGATCCAATCCTTAGTCCTCCGCAAGTACTTGAGAATGTTCTTTACCGCAGTCCAATGAGCCTTGCTAGGGTTCCCCTGATACCTGCTGACCATGCTTAAAGCAAAGGCCACATCAGGGCGGGTACAAGTCATAGCATACATGATCGAGCCAACAGCGGAAGCATACGGTAATTGGCTCATCTCAGCTATCTCTGCCTCTGTACTCGGACTCTGAGTCTTACTCAGCTTGGTATTGCTTTGGATCGATAAATCTCCTTTCTTGGAATTCAGCATGTTGAACCTTTTCAACACCTTATCCAAGTAGGTACTCTGACTAAGTCCAATTAGTCTTTTACTCCTTTCTCTAAAATATCCTTATCCCTAGGATATAGGCAGCTTTTCCCTAGGTCCTTCATAGCAAAGCACTTCTCAAGCCAGGACTTAACCTCCTGCAAGGTTGGGATGTCATTTCCTATAAGTAGTATGTCATCCACATACAGTACCAAGAAGCTAACTATACTCCCACTAGCTCTGACATACACACAAGACTCATCTTCACTTCTCGAGAAGCCAAACTCTTTGACCTTCTCATCGAAACAAAGATTCCAGCTACGAGATGCTTGTTTTAATCCATAAATGGATTTCTTAAGCTTGCATACTCTATTAGGGTACTCTGCACTGACAAAACTCTCTGGCTGATTCATGTACACATCCTCAGCCAATTTTCCATTAAGAAAAGCGGTTTTGACATCCATTTGCCATATTTCATAATGATGAAATGCAGCAATGGCTAGCATAGCCCTAATAGACTTAATCTTTGCTACCGGTGAGAAGGTTTCATCATAATCAATACCCTGAATCTGAGTAAAGCCCTTCGCAACCAGTCGAGCCTTATAAGTATGCACTTTTCCTTCCATGTCGGTCTTCTTCTTGAAGATCCATTTGCACCCGACTGTTTTACGGCCTGGTACATTGTGAACCAAGTTCCAAACTTGATTGTCATACATGGACTGTATCTCGCTGTCCATAGCCTCCTTCCACTTAGCAGATTCCGGGCCTACCATACGCTGATAAACGTATCACCTTTCGTAGTAATATGAAAGCCATAATAAAACGCAGGTGTGTTCCTAACCCGTGTGGAACGCCTCGGAGGTACAGAGTCGTCAGCTGGCTCAACAGGAGTTTCCTCCTCAGGTTGATTGCTAGTGTCTAAGGTTCCTTCACCAATTGATTCTTGGATTTCTTCAAGATCAATTTGCCTCCCACTGTCTCCTTGGCTTATAAATTCTCTCTCACGAAAGACCCCTCTTCTTGCTACAAAGACCACATTCTCACTGGGTCTGTAGAAGAGGTAATCGAAGGATTTCTGTGCGTAGCCGATGAAAATACACCTTTCACTTCGGGGTTCGAGCTTATCATGAGTTTCACGCCTCATGAAAGCTTCGCAACCCCAAATTTTGATGTGGTCCAAATTAGGAACCTTCCCAGTCCACATCTCATGAGGTGTTTTGGTAACCTTCTTTGTAGGGACTAGATTAACGATATGGGCGGCAGTCTCTAAGGCATACCCCCAAAAAGAGATTGGTAGCGAAGCTCGACTCATCATAGAGCAAACCATGTCTAACAAGGTTCGATTATGCCTCTCAGCTACACCATTTAGTTGTGGTGTCCTGGGAGGATTCAATTGTGAGACAATTTCCACACTCCTTAAGATAGTCAAGGAACTAGGTACTAAGATACTCACCACCTCAATCGGATCGAAGCATCTTAATGTTCCTGCCCAATTGAAATTTCTACTTCCTGTTTGAATTCCTTAAACCTTTCAAAGGTTTCTGACTTATGTTTGATTAAGTAGACATACCCATATCTACTAAAATCATCAATAA